CGCGAGCGCCTAGATACACGCGACAGGAGGCTGTCAGCTTCATGGCAGGCCTTCTTGGCCATATCAACACCGTTTTCTACCCTAGAGCTAATGCCATCAAATCCGGGGCCAATGTAGTTGCTCAGCTCATCGATATTAACCAGCTACACCCGCGAGCTAAGGTTATTGCCGTGCTCGAGCCCCGCGCCCGAAATGCCACCCAGGCCGTCAGCGAGATATGCGCTCTTCTCACCTCCGGTCTTGGTCTCATGCGGGAAGGTATATTTTGCAACTGGGCTCAGCCCACGAACGCTTTCCGGCGACTTCCAGTCCAGCCAGCTTTCGAGGCCTACTACCAGGACTGGGTCGTGGACTACATTCTGTCCTTGGAGGATAGCGCCCAGCCACCCGAGAACCACGAGATACTGCTTGTACCCTGTGAGATTTGCCCCGTGGTCGACACTCACCTGCGTACAGCGCACTGCCCACGCCAGGCTGCTGCACCTGCAGCTTTCACCCTCACCGAGCTGGGAGCCGATAGACCGGGCAGCTCACTCTTAGCCAACGTCTTCAACAACGGGATCTTTTCCTGGGACCCCAGGGCAGCGCTGCTCCAGAGCAAGCAAGAGACACCTTCGGTAGCTGGATCAGCCGCCATTGCAGCCAGCTCGTCTTCAGAAAAGTCGAAGGGAAAGGAAGTCGAGCGACAAAGCACACCAAGCGTAGCCGAGGAGTACCCTTTCCCGGAGCACGCTTCTGTATCACACAACTTGGCCTGGGCGACAATTTCCTCTGGTAGGGCCGATCAGCTTCGCAAGCTCAGGGCCAGTTTCCTGAATGAGCTAATTAAGAACAAGAGCTTGAGCGCTCTAGGCCCCGAGAAGAACTACATGCTCACCAAACTCGCCAAAGTCGGATCCATCGTGGCCTTTCGCGTAATATGCACTATCGCCGCGCGACTCGAGAGTGGTGTAGCACCCCACGACGCATGGAATACTTTTTCGGCTGACTTTCGAATGTCGACGTCCAAATCTTCTATTCCTGGAACTGGGCCTCCAGAAGCACAAGGGCTAAAGCCCAACGTTCAGTCCGACAAGCCTGGCTCCTCTGGTTCAGCATCTGGCCAGACAGCACGTACAGAGAGCTGCGAACCTTCGAGGTCAGACTCTGGGATCGAGTCTGAGGCTGAGATCGAGTATGACCCTTGGCTTCTAGCGTTGGATGAGCAGATGTCAGCTCCCGAAGAGCATAGCCCACACATGACAGCGGCGGCAACTCTGGTACCCCTCAAATCTGGTTCTCAGTCATGCCCTCCTGAAACTTATACAAAGGACCCTGCCATAACCAAAGCTAGCACATCAGGTGCGAATCAACCGCGTGAATCGCGCACGACTCCTGAGGAAAGAGCGGCCAGAGCCAAAGACCGCGATGACAACACTATACGCTATCTAGGATTGAAACATGACTACGGTCTCAACGTCCAACTCTCCGACATTCCGAACTCTGCTCAGGGACCATGCGTGTCCAGTTCCGAAGTGGAATCTGGCAAGAAATCGGAGCCACTGCCCAAGAGACTAGACCAAATGCTACAAGGGTTACAGGCCGCTGCAGATGCAGGCGATATCCGACAGATCAACAGCATTGGCGAAGCGATTATTGCCAGCTGCCAACCGATCCTCAAGAAACTTCAGCTCACCACCCGAGAGTCTTGGGTCTTTACTCTAAGTACGATGTTACGGCTAGACCCGTTCACCGCCGCCGCCGAGATCACAGACGCCTCTCAGGGCGTAGACCTTCCTAAATTCGAGGTGACTGACAAGGTTCTTCAAGATCTTAGTGGCGCAGGGAGTGAGTACGATGCTTGGAAGTCGCGCTACATCATCTTACTCCGCGAGGCACTCGCTCTGAGGGCCGAAGTTCGCAAGGCCATGGGAGCCGAGCCAGTGGATGAGACTTGCACTTTCGCTCTACCGCGGCTAACTGACCCAACAAGCTTTAACTCGACACCGTGCTCGATGGCTTGGGTATTCCAGAGATTTCAGGAATATTCTCGGAGTTCAAGGTTCATCCGGAAGGCAATACAGCCTCGGAGCCTACGCCATGTGTCGGACTCGAGTGGGACGACGCGACTTCATCGAAAGCTACGGTTGCGATCTCGGAACTTGCCAAGGGAAGTACTGCAGCCTTCAAGAGGCCTGCCGAAGACCTAGTCGATCTAAGACCTCTCAAACGAGTCCGCCAGGGGCCAACCGGCAGCAATCTTGCTCTCTCAGCTCCGGCTTGGGAAGCAATGGACCTCGATGGAACATTCGGCATCTCGGTCCTACGCATGATCGAGACACCCGCTGAGCCTTTCAACTTCGCGTTACGAAAGGTCGTCGAAGATACCGAGATGGAAAATGTCGCTCTCAACACTACCCTTACCGAGTCACAATGGCTGAAGGTTTGTAATGAAGTTGCAGGTGTGATTCGGACTGCGGAGAGTCAGGGAGTAGCCAAACCCGGCAACTTCATATGGCCTGTGGACGAGCAAGATTTTCCCGTGGGTTTGCCTCTCGTGAGATGTCTGCAGCCGGACAAGCCCGCCAGACCACCCGGTGAGCCTAGCAGTAACTCTGATACGAGCGACGATGCGGCGCACAGGGTCTGGGCAAAAGCTAATGGGTGGGTGCACGTGGCAAGCGATCACAGCTGGGTGAACACCGAGAGCAGAGAAGGCTTGGAGAGGCTCAAGGCCAAGTCCTTCACCAGGGTTCGTCACGGGCAACGCTACGGCCGAAGCGTCCCGCTATGTCTGGTGCCGTTACCAACCGTCAATATACCGTGGATATACGAATATTCTCCTGAGGCTGTCGGGATCATGTCTGAGCTGTACCAGTCTCCCACGCTGCTGCTCGACTCGATCGAGCTCTTTGGAGATTTGGTCCCCCCTTATCTGCCGCTTCGGAACCTAGCAACAATCCTTCGGGCTCGGCCTTCATCAGTGTGTCCTTTGCAAGCGTTCCGACGACTTGAGCAGACTCTCCATACCCTTCACAGCTTCTGTATCGTCCTGAACGATCACGGTGTGGTTTTGGTCGATGGCGCGATAAAGAAGACATACCCGACTGCAGATCTACTTTCGCTATACGTGTCGCTGTTTGGACGGGATGAATACAACAGGCTGCCGGACACTCTCCGGGTTGCCATGGAAGAGCGGTGCTTTCCACTGCAACTTGCTGAGCTGTATGAAATGAGCCAAGCAATCCATACTTGTCACAAGGTGTACTTCGCTCTCTCAGTCATCGTGGAGAGGATTGGCTTCGATCGCTTCAACAACTTTGCGTGCTCTTGGGCAGCCACGCCTGAAGCTCGCTCTCGAGTATGCCACGAGTGGATTGCGATGTGGGCCAGTCACAGAGGCAAAGGATTTTATGCTCACCGACACAAGACCGGTGCGGCTGGCGGTCTCAGTGACTTCAAGACTTCAAGACTTGGCCCCTGGGCTCTAGAGATGGCCGCTACTGTAGCTGACGAGTTAGGCGCCGTGGGTTGCCTGTGGATGAAGCTCCCTGTGGACCATGGTCAGCTATGCGAAGATGATGATGAGTATCACGTCGAGTACGAAGAGCATTTTATCTGCTAATGTCACTACACCCGCATGAAAACCTGATCAGGCACCTCGCCAGCAACAAATGAAAAGGACTACACAAGAGAGTACATGGAGATATGGTGCTGAGTAGCTCGCGTTGAAATTTTGCAGTTTTCTTTACGACCGCACATTAAAGCTCTCAGTGGGTTCCGACGAGGATATGAACTTTTTTTTCACCTTTCATTACCGCCCGGTCATTGTAAGCCTCTGGTAATGGTTTTGTACCCAGCAGAACTGGGGAGTTTCCCATTGCCCTGGGCAAATGCGGAGGCACTTATGAAATGACGTACCGGGGCGGTAATGGTAGCAGTTTCTTTACTGGGCTGGTAGAAGTCAATGGAATCGAGCAATCTGATTTACAGAAAAGTACCGCAAGATCGGTATTCCGTAAAACCGCGAATTTGTGAACTAGATCTCGATCTCACAAGGGTTACTGCAACGACACAATATTTTTAAAGGCTATAAAACGCGTGAGCTCGGCAATAGCCCAGTCCATTTATATTGTCTCTGTCTTAAGTAAGCTACAAAGATCCTTCGTCTATCTGGAATCCCTGGGCAAAACTACTCATATATACCTATGTAGGGTGGGTAAGCATGTCGCGAAGCCATGAGGCATACGACTGGCCTGGGGCATGTGCACTCGGCCTACAGGCTCGTGGGGTAACATGAAGCCCGGGAAATACCGACTGGCACCGGTGATTCTTCTTCAGCTATACATCTGAGAAACTTACTGATAACGCAATATGCGAGACGCATTATGTATGGCCACAGGAAATCGATCTCTGGGAACTGCGGTACCTGGGACATGACGGCTGTGCCCGGACAAGCTACACCGAGGCAGCCTGACCACGGGAATGAAACCTACAGACAGAGGATACTCGGACACAATAAGCAGCCGAGGCTGCACACCTTACAGACCAATGCCAGACAGTTCTTCTTCGTGTGACGCCAGCAACCGAAACCTATAAAGTCTTCACGGAGCCCTTGAGCCCTCATGCTTAGTGCCTCAGCCCAGCTCATAACGGCTAGCTGTGAGCTCTAGATCATGGCAACACGGTCATTTCCCGGCAATCTTAGTGCAGTGAAACCTTTTGCAAATCGTGCTCTGTAATGGGTCTCGCCTCTGCAGCCAGCCGCAAGCCTCGCTAGCTAGCACCGGCTGCCATGCTTCCCGCTATGCCCCGTCCACAGTAAGATAGGCTAGCTCCGCCAGCCAGCTCCGAGAGAGCATCTCGATCTCGGGCCGCCCCCTGCTCTCTAAAGGGGGCAAAAAGGTAAAAAGAACTACCAGGTTGTAGGTCATACTAGCTGCCCCCCCTTCATGTCACTATTGTATACTTACCGATATGCTATGGTGTTCTCCAACAAAACAAGCCCGCCTCGGGCCTCCGGTTGTATAGTGTAGTTGGTTATCACATCGGATTCTGATGAGCCTCGCCGCTTCTAGGTTCCGGTGACCCCGGTTCGAGTCCGGGTACGACCTCTTACTTCAGCTGATTCTCACACGTATAGTGATCACAGTGAGTGTTTGCTGAAGTAACTTTTAGAGCTTGATGTGTCCTACGTGCATTTTTGGGGGTTATTTCTTTTGTTCTTGGTATCTATCATCGCTTTGTTCATGCCGTGGACATTCTTCTGGTTTCGTTCTAACGGGAAGTACGTGACGTGCGGGGTAATGCTATCTCTATACTTTTTTTTCTAAAACTTTAAAGGGTATGTAGGTGTTACGGTTTGCATTAACCATGGCTTAACGTATGGCACGTAATACCCTTTACAGGCTAGGCTACGCGTTACCCCGTACATAAAAGACTTTCAACAGGTCTTGGTCGACTTCTAGATAGATAAGCATATTAATACATATATCAGTACTGCTTCGTAACACATCAATTCCGGGACGTCATCATTAGTTGAACGACGGGGAACCCTGACAATAGAGGTCCAGAGGTCCAGAGGTACAGAGGTCTAGAGGTCTAGAGGTCCATACTTGAAATTCGGCAAGCAATTATCAATCAACTCAAGTCTACTACCCCCGACTTGATGCCCTCGACGTCACAGAACTGCACCACTCATCATTTGTCACTTCTAGACGCCTGCCACTTCTGGGCATCGTGGCCAGTCTCTCCCACATCGCATCGCGTGCCTCCAAAGCCTAGCATCTTGACCACTTGACTCCTCGCCGTAGCGGGGTCATGCCCGTCTCTTTGCTTGACATAAACAAGAAGGGTGCTGCCCGGTGCCTCACAACCATACATGCTCATATGCCCTCCTAAAGAAGCGGCTTCCCGGTCATCATGAAATCTCCTCATACAATTTGTGCTAACAACTTTGTGACTATAGACTTGCCTCATTAGAACTACTATAACCTTACAGAGACCTCACGTTGCGACCTGCATAGAAGAACCAAACAACGTAATGGCCAACGCCAGGTCCGAGTAGCGGCAATAGTGTTGCTCAGGATGAAAGTCTATTATTCGCCAATACGGACAGCGACGATGAAGCCGGAGGTGCCGATCATATCATCTTCGAGTATTCTTGATCTGCTGGTCCATACGGATATATGATGGTTGACGACAGGGAGGAAGGTCCCGAGACCAAGGAGTCCGATGACGACGCTATCATTGTCACAGTCAAAGAAGACGTCCGCCATATCAGCAACGCTGACAAGACCGCGCGGCGCTTCATCAAACGCTACATTCTCAACATAAGTATGAAAAGCACACACGCACACACTCAACGACATTAATTAACGCAATCGAGAACAACGGGGAGACCAACGGGTAGACAGGCGCGGAAGTGCTTCATCCAGAGATTAGCTTCTCTGACACGACAGACGTGAGCCGTGGCGGAGAGGCTCGGCGATGTCACTTCCCAAAGCTCGCCGCTACAGTCGTGAAGACTGAATGCCGGAAGGGGACGATTTCCACAGACGCAAATGGGATCGCCTACGGATCAGCCACCCCCTGGCAAAGGAGAAGATCCTCGACAGCTGCGATTGTATCGGATGCAGACTTCGTTGTTACTCTACGCAATGGTCGGCAGATATGATTGTTGGAGAGGTCAAACCCAACCAGAGGAACGGCGCTACTCCCACAGGCATCGAAGAATTTCGCCGCGACGTGGGGATCATGAATGGGACGTCGATTAGACAGCACCTCAGGCCGAGGCTACAAGCAACCAAGTGGTATCATTTGCTTTCCCCCACGCCCCGGTCTGTCTCCTTATGCTATGTCGACGCGCAGCTCAACATCCAGCTTCCCTCCCTCATTCCTCACAGAGTTTGCCAAAAGTTCAATTGCTGTGTTCGGGAGGCCTGTGGCGAGCGAAAGCGTCAACGCTCCCAAGTCGGTCATTCGTGACGTAACTGAGCCTGTAGTTTTATGTGCTCTCACTCGTGATGATGACGGACATGAGGACACCACTAGCAATATTTTCGCGCCGGATCAACAAGCAAGGGGTGCTTGCGAGCATTGCACCCCACTGAGCCGGCGACGAAAGCTTGATATCATTTTCTATCTCTTATTGATATCCCAGCTCCCTTCGGGCAACTCAAGCCAAATATCGAGGGGCGATTTGATGATACTTCCAAAAAAAAAAGACTGCTTGTCCCAGCAGGGAACCGCCACCGATTTCTCCCCGTCTCTGTTCCGCACAGATACCAAAAGCATTGCAATGTCTTGCGCGGGCCACAGCTGCCGCTGGGCTACCCATTTGTGGCATTGCTCACCGTGGCCAGCCAAACCACCTCCCGTCCAAAACCTTCAATTCCCAGCCTCCCGATCTTAGATGATAGCAAAAAGACGCAAAACTGCCACCTGCTCGCCCAGAGGTAGAAAAACCCCTCGAGCTCCTGTCACACCCGAATATGCAAATAACGCCGAATCGGGAACGACCGTGCCAGGTCGTGCAGTTTGAATGATACGAAAAAAAAACAGTGAATCGCACGCCTGCATGAAAATTCAAGCCCGCCAAGGGTCGCCGGGGCCTAGAGGCTCTCCCCCTACGCCCCTCCCCCCTCATATCTTGCGCTGACGCTTAGCCGAACGACTGGGACTGTCCTCCATATCGTCTCGTGTAATCTCCTCGGTGCCTCCGGGACTCGGCCCCTGGTCAGGCGTGTTCTTCTCGACGATCCTGCCGTTGCCAAAGTCGTGGGCAGAAAACCCGCCGCCGCCGCTGTTGACCGCGCCCGGGTCAAAATCAGGCAACGGGTCGGACGGGTTCCAGGTGTACCCCGCGGTACTACCGAAGTCGTTAGCAGCGATGCTGGGGTCGAACATTGGCGCGCTCGTGTCGAAGCTGAAGTCGCCTATGCCTCCCGTCCCGTCGCTGGTAAAGGCCGACGAGTCCAGATACTGGTTGAGGTCGATGTCGTCGTTACCAAAGTAGCTGACGTCGCCCTCCAGGCCCGGGATCCGGCCAGATGGGCTCAGCGGCCCGAGCAGGCTGTTGAGATGCTCGAGCTTTTCGGCCTGCTCTGTCTGGAGGCGTTGCAGCCGCTCGAGCTCCTCATTGTTCTGCACCATGCGCTCGATAGACGGTGGTTGTACCTCGGGTGCAGTGCGCAGCATCGGCGACAAGTTCGTCGACGTTGCGGTTGGCGGTGGTGACGCGCTCGTCTTGATTTTCTGCGACAGCGGTGGTTGATTCTGCATCTTTGGCGTTGGCACAGAGGTAGCGGGTGACGCCGTCGAGTTTGGAGACGTGCTGTGCTTGGCGCCCGACATGATGTTGAGCATGCGGTCGCGCTGATCGCTGGTCATGTTTGTGGACGTGTTGGCTGCGAGGTGGGACAGCCCGGCAGAGTTTGGCCCGGCATTGGAGTTGGCATTCTGGATAATCTTCATCATTCCCTCCTGCGGATTTGACTCGAGCTCATGCTTGAGATATGCCGGTGTGGTGGACTTTTCTGACGGGGGGTCAAACACTTCCTCGACAGAGCCCATGCGCGGCTGCTGCTGTTGCTGCTGCTGATTTTGGTACATATTTTGCGTGGCGCCAGCTGAAGGCGATCGCGAATCCTGGTGGGCTGGTATCGGAGGCAGTAGACGCTGGGGCCTCTTAGGAGTGGCGACGGAGCCTGTGCCGCCCATGTTCATCTGTTGTTGCAGAAAGTCGCCCAGGTCCACGACACTACCCGAGGAGTTCTGGGGCATTTGCATGGTGGGTATGATGCCGGCCAGCAAGTCATTAACATTCTGGACGCCACCTTGCTCCTCTAGCGACTTGCGGAACACGTTGGCGAGGAAGTTGAGGATTGCTGTGATGGAGTTCTCGTGCCGGTCGTGCATATTCTGGAAGACGACGGCCTGCTGGAAGAGGCTGTTGTGCTCGCCTCGCAACCTCTTGATCGCGTCACTGATTGTCCGCTGCTGCTGCTGGAGCACGGCCATCTGGTCTCTGATGACCGATAGTTCTTTCCGCTGCAGGGGTCCGCCAGACTCTGGTGCTGGAAGCGCACGGCTCGGGTCCTGCGGCCGGTCAACTGGCTGAGTAAGGATATCGTCAGCTAGTAAAATCTCATCGTCGCTGTCGCCCTCGACGTCGTCCGGACGCTTCTTGCCACCCTTTTTCGCGTTGCCGCTCTTGGGCTTGTTGATCAGCCAGAGGAGATTCGGGTGCCCCCTGCGGAAATAGGGGTTGTAGTATTCGCTCGGGCTCTTGTTCTTGCGCTCGCTGGCCTTCATCGAGTTGTCCGACAGCCCGACCTTTTTGTGGAACCCGTACATGTTGAGCTGGCGCACGAAAGATGCATAGTTGTTGTGTTTGAAAAGCTCAGGAATCAGCGTCTTGGCGAACTCGTCCTCGTCCAGGACGATGAAGGAGTCGCCCTTTTCCGACCACCTGATGAGCTCGGTGTTCTTGGACTCTTCAAGAAAACTAGGAACACGCCGGATTGGTCAGTAACCACATAACTTCTAGAAGGCGGGTCGGGACAACCTACCTGTTTAGTTTCTGCACAAACGGCGGGATCTGTTTCCGCTTCGCCTGCGCCTCTCTCTTTGCCCTCTGCGCCCGCTCTTCCAGCACCTCTACATTGTCATTATCCTCGGTGCCACCGTTTGTCTGCGGCATGACCAATCCGTCCTCGAAGTTTGGCCATGGCTCACTCTGCGGCTGCATGTACGAGCGATTGGCCGGGACGAGCGACCCATTCATCCCCCTCCGCGCCAGTGTGGTGGAAGTAGCGGCCGGCACGCCCTGGGGGAACTGCGAGGCCTGTATCGGGGTCGAAAGCATCCCGTAGTCGACGTTGTTGGCGTTGTCGAGCAGGTTGCCCGTGTTGTTGCCGGTCCAGCGCATGAGCTGGTCCGCTTGTGGGTGGAAGGGCTGGGCCATCTGCTGCGATGTGGGCGCGCTGCCGGGCGCGGGCCGCTTCCTGTTATTCGTTGGAGATGTCATGGGATGTTGCAGGGCGAGACGCGCGTCGCCTGGGCGCTCTCTGGACACTGGAGCTGAGCAGTCGCGCCCAATTGGGCGTTGCCT